TCTGAGCTACCTTTAACTCAAATCAAGATATATTCATGATTTTTACAATGTTAGGAAGAAATGACAGTATAATAAAATATATTCTGAAAGAATTTGGCGTGAGAGGAGGGTTTCTGACATGAAAATGCATTTGAGGAATTTTTTTTCTCAAATTAATGTCACTTAATGTACCATAATTTCTTCATGACGCGGTGACTGACTGCCACACATTAGATTCATCCGCACTGGAGCCGCACCGGAGCACAACCCAAGCAAGGAAAATCATTCTGTAAAAAGCTGCAATTGCAGGTTTTCAAACAGAGATGGCGACAAAGAGGCAAAACTTACGGACTTCAGCTTTAAATTTTGGGGTGAACTCTCCCTTTAATCATACATATATTTATTTTTATTTTTCACTATAATCTTAATATTTTTACGTCTGCTTCATTTGCTATCTTCTTCAGTTAAAAAAAAACAAGTCTAACCTTTTTCATGTTTATTTCCTCATCAGAATGGCATCAAGAATGGCATCATCTCCGTATAGCCGCCCCAGTCCCATCAGGGTCAGATGCGTACTCAACCACAAAAACCCTCAATTTTAAGCTTGTAGATGGTGAAATTAGGCCTGGCACTCAAGTGATCACATACCTTAGTGCACTGTCCACTGGTGGTCAGGTGTATGTCACACAGTCCTCTTCAGACAGGGCAACCTTCGAAGAGGGCGTGACATACTACATAAAAAACTACACCGTGTCGTCAAGGTATGGGCAGGAACGTCTGTTCATTGGGCCGAACACGACGACCTACAAAACTGCTCCCCTCACACTGACCTTCGATGCCGAGAAGATGGCCAAAGATGCCCTGATTCCACCATCTGTCTCAGTGACTGGGGATGAGCAGGGCCTCTTTTCAAGAGGGGGCTACTTAACTCTGGAAGGAACAGTGGAACATGTGAGTGATCTTTTTGCAATTTCCAAGGTTTTGGAGCAAGGACCAGTGGTGGAGGACATCGTGGTCATTGGCTTGTCCGAAGCCAATGGTGAGGTCTCCTTGCTCGCTGAGGACTTCAGTGAATTCACAGCACCTCCCGAGCTGCTTGAAGGGAGTCCAGAAGAGCTCCTGTGCCACAGTCCGCTTCATTTGGAAGTTATCCACAATCATAGAAAAATTCAAAAAATAAATTATGTTGATGAAATGTAAGTTCTCAGTTGTGTGAAATAGTTTTTTTCCTCCTGTAATTATTTGCTGTTCCATTTCATTATATACATTTGTTATTTAATTGTTTTGCATATATATATATATTTAAAATTGTTCTTTATATATAATTTATTGATATATCGATAATATTGATTTGATTCTTTTATCTAATACTAACATTATCTACAATTTCTCCTGTTATTATTCAACTTAAAATGGTTATTTCTTCAGTTTCATAAAGTGAATTTCACACACACATCTACCTTAAGACCTTACCTCTGTTCCTCATGATTTTCTTTTGTAATTTGATCATTTGTTATTTTGTTGCTGATTATTTAATAGTATTTAATAGTAATAAAGTATACATATATTGTTACAAAACAGTTGAAAGTGTGTTTGTGTGCAGTGGGCTAATTGGCAATTGATGTCTATGAACACCATCTGTGTTCTGTTTGAACAGAAAACAACCATTAAGTCTAATGTGTTTATCACCTCCCTACCATAAACACAAATGTTTAATGCTGCTCTGATCCTAATGCTACCAAGTATGTTAAACATAAATAATAAGATCATTAATCAATTCCAATTTAAACATTGAATTACTAGTCGTTAACTAAGAGTAACATGTTCTCTCTCTTTTTCCTCCCCCTGTCCCTTACCCTCTTTTTTTTTTATAAACATAAATATTTAATTTCAATATCTTTTCAACAAATACATTATAATTGTGTATAAGTGTGTTAATACAGTAATTCATTATATATATACACACACACACAAACACATTTTTTATTTTGTAATTGTCAACTTAAAATTACCTCTAAATAAAAGGAAGCACTGGTGACACCTGCTGGTCAAAATCAGGAATGTGCCATTTAACAGCCTAAATTAGGGTATGATAATGACGGGCAAATTTTCCAGCTTTAAGGGCTTTTTTTTAATTTATTTTTTTATAATTACCTAACTAAAAATGTTGTCCTTTCTGTCAAAGAGTTAAATTTAACCAAACCTAAAACGTTTACCAAAAAAAAATATATACAAATTATAAAATTAAAAAACGGAATTCATTACAATATTACAAAAAGAATAAAAAAGATAACTATTGTCGATTATTGCTCACGGTATTGTAATAATGAAACTAAATAATACATTAATCATGTTAAGTTCATTCTTGTATGCATGCACAGTCAATAACCGCTCATGAACTAGTTAATTGCTTCTTACGCATTAGACAACCAAGACACTTGTATTTTAGTAACATGAAAAGCAAAACGATTATAAATTAATACCTTACTTACATCGTATCTGCTCTTCTTAGGGCAAGATTTTGCAGTTTTCAGTCAGTGTTTTCAGTGCGCACTGAGCAGTTCTTGAACGAATCGTTCTTTTGAGCCGGTTCTCAGGAAGTAACCGGTCGAGCCGGGTCACAAATCAAAATGAATCGAACTTTAGTTCCGGGTTGATGACGCAAGACGCACAGCCGAAGTAGCACGTCCTACTCAGAAAGAGCCGAATGAGCCGGTTCAACCAACTGTATAGTACAGTAAATATGCTTATTATGATTACTGTTATAAATTAAAATGTTATTAAAATCTGCAAAAACCTTTCTGACAAGAGAGGTAAATACATTTTACTACAGTCTATTGTGCATGCAGATTATTCTTTTTTAAGTTGTTTAAGCAAATGTAAAAAGAGGTGCTCTACCAACAGAAGAGGAGGTGCAACCAAAAATCTAAAAATATATGAGCTGAACAAAGGTGCAACACTCACTCTTCAAAGTTCAAGCTTTATTAATAAACAACATGACGTTTCAGCCGTCCAAGGCCTTCATCAGATAACAAGAGTAACAATCTCACACAGTTAAGTGCAGTCTGATAATCACCAACAGGTGTGCAACTCCACTAACTGAGATATTTTTTGTCTAACTGCAGAGCAAGGCGTCGCAGCTCGGACGCTCGCGCTCCGGACTGCATTCATCCTCGCTTCTCTCAATAAGAAAGACTACTCTTGCACAAACACAGACAAGATTATTTCAAAATACATGATAGCTTGGCGAATATAATCGAAAACATTCGTTTATGTCTCACGTGAACATAAACTGTTGAGAAATAAATCGGAGATGGATGGATGTGAATATTAAAGCGACCGCATGTTAATCCAAATCCAGTTTGTTTGCTCATTGTTTATCGCGTAATTTAACTGATATCTACTTTTTTATCATAATAAACTTGTTTGTTAGAATAGACAATTACAGCGGTCTATAACAAACATTACCAGGGTTTCTACATATCTATCTATCTATCTATCTATCATCTGACTATTTCTATCTATCTATCTATCATCTGACTATTTCTATCTATCTATCGATCATCTGACTATTTCTATCTATCTATCTATCTATCAATCATCTGACTATTTCTATCTATCTATCTATCTCTGACAGACTGTATTGCCTTCAAAACATTCAAACTTTAAGCTTTTAAAACTACTTTAAACTTCAAAGTACTTCAGACTGAAAACCATCAAACTTAAAACTTTTTTATACTTCTTAAACTTTTTAAACTTTTCAATCTTTTTCAAACTTTCTGGTAATAATTCTGTAATTATACTGCATTATTCCTGTAACAGTTAATACAGTCTTGAGCCCTGATTCACAGTGGATGTCTGATGGCAAGTTGGATGGAGTGATTTTTACAATGGCAACTCACAGACTCAATGCGGGCACCTTGTTGGAAACCGCTTGTTTAATATATTGCTTCTCCACAAATCCACTGCAAGATTTATGTTCTACACTTTTCTTTTCTTTTTTTTTAACTGTGTATTATATCTATTCCTTTGATACATGAGTAATGTGTCTGGGACATATTTTCTTTTTCTCTAGTTTCCTTGATTCTGCTGCCTTCGCTGCACCAGCTGTGGAAACCTGACCTGGTCCAGTGAACCTCTTCCCACACTCGTACAAGGTAATGAATTGTTAAAGATTCTGTTGTTGGTCAGTGAATGGTTTGTTTTAAGCTGCAACTAGTCATTTTAATTATTTTTCTGATCAATTTGATAACAGCTATATTACTTTTGTTTATTGAAAAAGCATGTTATTCCACATCATGACCTTGCTGTTTTTGTTTTTGTTTTTTTTCCCCAAAAAATTTAATGTTTACATTTTAGCTCTTTTGTACTTAATGTGCAGAATAGCCGACACTTTAATAAAATTCACAAAATAATTTTTTTAGTCCAATTAACTAATCAAATAAATAATTGAAAAATTAATTAATTGTTGAAATAGTTGTTACTTGCATCCATAATATGAAGTTATTCACTGGGGAAAACACATTTCAAGCGCATTACACAGCAGAAGCACCTGACCGAGTAATGCACTCACAATTATCTTTGTAGCATTTAATGAAGTTTCTACTGCTTTTAACAACAGCTGCACATTTCATGCAGAAGCTCCCTCCATGAGGCCCAAACATGCTGAAATAAAAATAAATACATGTATAGTTAATTAAATAAATGTAATAAAAGGAAAATAAAGAAATAAATGTCTTTATAAAACAAATATAATTTAATTTGTAATACAATTTAATCCTGACTGTATTTTTTTTATGTATTATGCATTATTTATATATAATATAAATTATATGAATATAAATATACATGTAAATATTTTCAAAATATATACTGTATGTGTGTGTATGTATATACACATAATAAATATACACAGTACACACACACATATATTATGTACACAAAAACTTTTAATTTGGATGTGATTAATCGCAAATAATCATTACCCAACACTACTAATTAAAAGAAAAAAACTCTTTATGCTAAGTCTCACCATTTACCACCAACGTGAGTGTGAGGTTCTGATAAAGCCCATACTGCTGGATGCCAGTAAGGATGGTATAGATTCCTGCATCCTCTTCAGCAACATCCCGAATGACCAGAGAAAACCTGTCTGCATGGTAACGGGAGCACTGCTCGGCGGCAACCATCCCATCCTTCAACCTAAGCAACAGATTCAGTTATTGAGATTTGATCTGTTTGCCAAATATGTTGTTTCTGTTCACATTTGTTTACATTTGCAAACAAATTACATCTATTTAGCACCTCAACTATATAGTCACAGGAAATTTTACCAGATGACTTCAGGTGCAGGGAAAGCCCTTAGTTTTGGAGTAAGCCTGAAAGATTTCTGTCCTGCAGAAGCCTGAACCACAGGGCCATCTCTGTGCTTGAGTCGAATGAAAGGCTGGTCTGGGAACAAACAGACAAGAGAGTAAGACAATCAAAAAAACATGTGCGGACGACCGAGAGATAAAAAGCTGTAAATAGTGAATTAGAATCCATTAGATGTGGAACAGCAGTTTGGTTTCAAAGCAAATTTTAACTCAGCGACAAGGTGACTGATTCTAAAACTCACCATAGACGATAACTGTGGTATTTGTTTCTCGCTTGGATGGACCACTTGTTACATGACATTTGTAAAGTCCTCTGTCTGCTTTGCTCAGTCTGGGAATGGTGAGAACACTGTAGAAGAGCATGTTGGTTCGGCTCCTAGATATGCGTCTGATGATAGTGGCAGATCCATTAGCCTGAAGTAAAAACAAGCAAAGCAAATTGTGTCACAAACATCAAGAATATAAACAACATGTTGGTCAGTGACTAGTAATTTTAATAATTTTTCTGATCAATTTGATAACAGCTATATTACTTCTGTTTATTGAAAAAGCATGTTATTCCACATCATGACTTTGCTGTTTTTTTTTGTTTGTTTTTTTCCCCCAAAATGTAATGTTTACATTTTAACTCTTTTGTACTTAATGTGCAGAATAGCCGACACTTTAATAAAATTCACAAAATAATTTTTTTAGTCCAATTAACTAATCAAATAAATAATTGAAAAATTAATTAATTGTTGAAATAGTTGTTACTTGCATCCATAATATGAAGTTATTCACTGGGGAAAACACATTTCAAGCGCATTACACAGCAGAAGCACCTAACAGAGTAAATGAACTCACAATTATCTTTAAAGCATTTAATTAAGTTTCTACTGCTTTTAACAACAGCTGTACATTTCATGCAGAAACTCACTCTATGGAGGCCCAAACATGCAGACATTTAAAGTAAATAAATGCATAGTTAAATAAATGTAATAAAAAAGAAATGTCTTAATAAAACAAATATAGTTCATTTGTAATACAATTTAATCCTGACTGTATTTTTTTTATGTATTATGCATTATTTATATATAATATAAATTATATGAATATAAATATACATGTAAATATTTTCAAAATATATACTGTATGTGTGTGTATGTATATACACATAATAAATATACACAGTACACACATTATGTAAACAAAAACTTTTATTTTGGATGCGAATAATCGCGATAAATCATTTGACAGCGCTAGTGAG